ATAGTAATATGAAATAAATTTTGTGTAAAATCAATATATTTTTAATGTGATAAAATTAACTTGGAAAAATGTTATTGACGATCTGTAGTCACTCTCACTCCTATAGATAAAATCAACATCCTTTTCTGTAAATTTTAACGGATAAATAAATCACTAATAATACGGAACACATTTATTATGGAAAATTAAAAATATGTGTACATTGTGTTATTTTTATATTTTTTTTACAGTTGTTTTAATAATTTAACATTTGAGTTCTAACACAACAGCAGTATGTTAAATTAAAAAAAGAATGTATTAAATATTTAATACAAAAACTTGAATAAGCATATTTTTTAACAAGAAAACACAAATTTTTCAAAAGTATAATCACGGAAAAACAAACAAATAATCTCTCGTGGAAACGGAGGATGGATGGATCGGATTAATTCCGATATACGTATCCAGCGTGCTATTTCCATCCTCGGGTCATTATCGCGAATCGCCAACGCGCGCGCGAGCACATCGAAGAAATAATTCCAGCGAGAACTCTCCACGGATCGACTGCATAAATCATTTTGTGGGTCACCGGAGCAACCACGTGGTGGCCTCGTTCCACTCGGCTCCTCTTGATCGAACGCTCGCTTCTTCTCTCGGTCCACAAACTTCCGGCGACCGATCGCGCATTGGCCTAAAACTAATCGTCGTATTCGCCGTTTTTTTTTTCGGAACATTATTGCTGTTTTTTTATTCAAGTTATCATTAATTCTATAACGCAGGATGTTTTATTTTCTATTAAATAATTATATAGTTAAATATACAAACATGTACACATAAATAATTGTATTTGATATGACGTATAAATATATTTTTTAATAAATTATAAGAAACTGTATACGATTGTGTGTGTTAGCCAATGTCAGTGTTAAATGATAGCCTTTCTCGGTACTCGTTATAAAAAAATTGACGCTGACTGATTAGTGATTGAGTGTATTTTCTTGGCGGTCATCCCTGATGCAGGAGCATCACTGCCATAAATCCCAATCTGTCCGTCTGCTGCGCATTTGTCGGTTAGTGATGCGCTTCCGAGCGAGCGGGTCAGCCGAGTGGGCCGGAGAGAAACCGAGAAAGAGGAAGAAAGAAAGAGAGAGAGAGAGAGAGAGAGAGTGACAGAGTGACGTCAGGCATGCAATTACCGATGCACTTGACGCGTCCTCAACAACAGATCGTCCGAACGAACACTCCGGCCATCTCCGCTGATATAAAGCCTATTTTAGACGATCTAGATTTCGCGATAGAATTGTGTGTGTATATGTGTGTGGGAGGGAGGGAGGGAGGGGGCTACATTTTCAAATTATCTTAAAAATCCATATTTTTCATACAAAAATAGATTATATGTTACAGATATATGAAAAGCGTTCATATATAAATAAGTCCATAAAATCGTAATATCTTTAAAGAAAAGGAATTTGACATAATTGGTCTGGAAATAAGCTGTCGAGACAGAATTCAACAGAGAAATCGTTTGCAAAATTAAAATTAATTTATATATATGATTTTGTTCGTATTATTATGCAATTTAATGTATAATATTATGAATAGAATTCTGTTGTAAATAATAGATTGTCTAAACAGGGCTTAATATCGTTTCCTTTCTTTGTTGTCCCGCGAACATTTGTCAACATTGCGTCCTTCGGCAGTTGCGCGTCTGGAGTCGATTAAAATGTCGTTTATCTTCTCGGACGTTCCACCCTAACTGCCACGGAGTTAACGCGAGAAAACGCGAGTCGAGGGCTCGTCATCGTCGGGCAATAATGGACCGACCGCTGAATGTAGAAAGTGAAAAATGCCCGCCAGAGAAGTGGCCAGACGAGGAGAGATAATCCTTCTCGGTCGACGCTAGATGATGATGACGACGATTACTGCTGATCGAGGTTTTCGCGTTGTAACAGACACAGAGAGAGCTCGTTGCTCCGAACACGATAAAGCGACGATTTCAGATACAGTCTACGATTAATCTATACCACGTTATATTGGATATCTATCACATTGGATATCTATATTACGTTAAAAGAAATTTTTAAAACTGTTTAAAAGAATCGCAATAAGCAACGAGAATTTTTCTTCGCGACTGTAGCGCGAAATGTAAACTTTCATCAATCATTTCGCTGCCGAATAAACGCCGAGCGCAAAGATGGATTGGTTTTTTTTTTCGTGCTGGAGAAGAATTTCTTTCCCTCCAAGGAGAAACTTTCTTGCGAATCTTTGCGGAGGGCAAAGAGGGAGAAAACGATAGCCGATAACCGCTCGAGAGGACCGCACGAAGAAACAGATCTTAAGGATCAATACCACATAATTCTGCGAGACTGTTTCATGTAGAAATTGACGGGTACATAGAACCAGAAATTAACGTTTCGGTGGCAGAGAAGAGACCCTCACTCTTTCTCTAATTTTTTCTGTCTCTAATTTTCTCTCTCTCTCTCTCTAACTTTCTAACTCTTTTTCACTCTTCCTAACTCTTTCTCACTCTCTCTCTCTCTCTCTCTCTTTATCTCATTCATCCCGAGATTCATATCGCCGAGGTAGAAGGCCATTTGTTATAGTCTCGTTTATCCGAACAATCTCTCTTGCGTCGATGCCGACAAAATCCAATGCGAACCGTGCGTCCTTGGTTGCATGAAACCTGGGGGTCCTTTTGTAGAACTCAGGCACTTTCACGGATCTCCCTCGTTTCTCGTGGGTTTTTACCCTCTCTTGAGTATTTGTTTCCATAGACTCTCGCTTTCAATGGTCCCTACGGTGCTACAAACGAATCCTCTTCCAGACATATAAAAGTCATAAATGCCACAGACTTTAAAAAAATTTAAGAGATTATCAAATTTATAGGTGCCTTGTGATTTCTTTTAAATCACATCTCGAAGTTTCTGTATTTTCGCTTTTCATCAAATCACACATATTCCTTTAACACTTTAGTGCACACTTTGTTTCACAGTCACTTTGTTTCAAATTCAAAGATTCACGTTTCAATTAATACTCTGCTGACGATAGGAATTCTTATCGTCGTGTA